ATTAGAGTCGATAGCCTGTGTTGCTAGTGCTCAATGTCTTTTTTTTAGTCTAAGAATTCAATTCATTAGTCTAAAATTAAAATAATAATAATAATAATAATAATAATAATGTAGATCTTGCCACTATTGATGAATCCTTAACATCGTTAGGCAGTAACAACTTTTAAACCAAATGTGTCAGCATTTTCTTTAGTTTCCAAATTAAAGTTGTTTTGGTGACGCAAGGCGAAAGAACACAGTTCACAATCGGCATTCGATGGAAAGATGCTTCTATTCGGCGACTTTTGCTTATCCAGAGAATAAATTTGTGGGTAGATTGTAAATTTTAAACAAAGGCATATGGACGCTCTGATCGTACCAATTCACAAAACTGTTTTGAGAGCCCGAAAGGAAAAGTTGCGCAATCTGACTAACACCTTAACGCTATCTATTCACTAATTTCCATGAACTTGTGTCCATAGCAAAGTTTTTCCTGAAGTGGGTAAGGCGTTCGTTTGCCCACTTTTGATCAAAAACAACCAGCTGTTGTTGGAACTGTTTATATGAACATGGATTCATCATTCAGTCCCTAGCCGTGAATAGCCGTGGATAGCGATCAAAAAAGCAGTATCACCAAGGTCTCAAGACATGTAAAGTAATAATCAGAACAGCATGACATTCTGTCACATTTCGTTCGAAAGTTGGTACTGCTAGTATAGTCATATTTCTGCCAGATCGAAGATTTATTGAATGATAATTTCTTTAATTGTTGAAAAATAGAGCCGACAGTCTTAGTTGTTAGTGCCGGAGCTCGTTTCTTTTGCCCGAAAATAATAAAAATAATAGCAACAAATAAGGGAATTGTATTCGTTCGTGAGCGGGAAGGGAAATTTATATGGTGAATGTGTTATGTACTTCATGAGTAAAAAGCAAAAGACACGAAAGACAAAGATATTTACAGTTTGTGTTACATAGACAATTGCCTGTCGCAAAGCATGTTGTTCGAAAAGGTTGGATTCCTTTTAAATTCCTTGTGCGTGTAAGCGTGTAAGTGACATTTTCGTTTTTGCGAACGTGAGAGTGTTTACCACAGATTCTACACGATTGCGCAGACAGACAGACATGTCTAAGTGCATTCCAAGTTTGAAACTGGCCAAGAGCTTGCGTACTTTATGGGGTTTTTGAGCCTTACCTCTGTGTGTTATAAAAATTTTGAGAAAGAAATTAAATTATAACAAACTTTAAAAGCAGATAGGCGTGGCCGAATATTTCCATTTTGGTAAAGGTACTACAGCGTAGCCCAACAAGTTTTATAGGTTTTCGTGAGTAATGAGCAAAAAAAAAATTTTTTTTTATTTTTTTTAAAAATGGAGTTGTCCTCAGTTGATGTAGAACTGTGGGCGAGTCTTTCGACCGATATTAGCTCATTTTCAATACCAATCTGCGTGCAAAGAATCCCAACGTTGCTGCCACATTTGAAGCCGATAGCTTCATTTTTGCGACCAAGGGAATGTTTACAACAGACTGACAGCAAAACTCATCCTTCCTTCATAGCTATAATAATAATAATAATAGATACTGTATTAAAAACACCAACATTTGATTGTGCATTTCATTTGAAATTACAAATGGTTTCTGACTTAAGGCAAACGTTAAAAGTATGTAACAACATCTTTGGAAAAGTAATGACAAAATCAACTCTGGATCCATTACAAAATGAATAGCAAAATATTTGAAGGCTATTCCCTATCGATCTTTTACTCAAAGGACTATGTTATGTTATCACTATGTTTGCAACATATTGCCCTCCGAAGACGAGTATCTTTTGTTGTTGATTAGCTGCACGCATATAGATCAAAGTAGTTTTTGCATAATAAAAGTGATAAAAGTCGAAATGACGACTTGCTTCTTATTAATTATAATTTTGTTTGGTTTTGTTACTTAGAAAGAACATAAATTGCGTTTCAGTTTTGTTGTAAGTCCCTATAATAAAACCAATCTCTCGGTTGGCATTAATTATAATAAACAGAGTATACGAAAACAGTTTGTTTATTTGTGACGGGACGTGTCTTTAAGCGAATTCAATTTCTTTTTTTTTCATTTGTATATCCAAAGCGACTGATTAAAGGTAATATATTCGATGTTTTAATAAATTTATTATCAAAGGCAGAAAGAAAAAACATAATAATAACAATATTTTGAAGATGCTTGCAAAGCAATATCGTTGTGCTCTAACAATATAATAAACAATTTTTTTTTTTTTTTTTTCCATAAACGTAATGAAATTGTACGATCGGATAATGAAAAAAATTCAGATGCGCCTGCCTTGCGTTCGTGTTTAATAAGTGCGCAGAGAGAGAGAGAGAGAGAGAGAGGTAGAGGTAGAGGCAGGCACGCACGCAAACTTCATAAAGAAATTTAATAAATTTGTATTTTTTCAAATTTTTCTTCAATTTGTGTTGTTTTTTGTTTTGTTTTTGTTTTTGTTTTTGTGAAAGTTACTAATTTTTCACAACCAGTTCATAAAAGAAAAAAATTTAAGTTTTATATATATATATATTTTTTTTATGTATATAAAGCACAAGTTTATTTATGTATATATATATATATATATATATATATATATACGAATGTATATCAAACTCAAGACACATTATTGTTTTTAACTGAATTATGTGTGACTGCATGTTAGTTGACCTTCATTGAAATATATATGCGGCTCTGTGTAGATAGATACGTTTGCATGTATAAAGCAGGCATTTGCACATCTCGCTTTCTCTCACTCTTCATCATCATCATCATCATCATCATTATGAGCTACGTATGTGTAACATTTTCTTTGCCTTTATGTATATATATATATTTCGCCGTTAAAAATAAGGAATTACATTAACAGTTAGTTATTGCATGTGTTGTTTACTGATTTATAGGTAGATTTTTATACACACATACATACGTACATACGTAGCATAGATAGATAGATAGATAGAGATTTAGAATTTGTTATTGTATTCAGTTATTTGCTATTTGATTGAAAACTTACATCACCTTTAGCACTCACTGCGGCTGCATGCACTGCTGCGACTCACTACAGAAATGACTATAGGCAATTCCATCGCAAGCATACATATGTAAATCTGTAAGATAATAAACTTATTTATTATATATGCATGCATGTAGGTATGTATTCATAGAGGTGCGATGGATAATAATGCGAATTTTGCGGTTAACAAAAACGCAAGCATTTCAACATAAGCGATTAAAGCGTTTTATGTCTAAACTACGTCTTTTAAAAAGTTTGTGCAAATAATTTCTTTTAAATCCCCATCGCAGAGGGATGATATTCCTTTTGCGAAATCGTTTGCAAAGCCCAAAGAATTATATATTCTCGATCAGCATCAAAGCATGTCCATCTACATCCGTCTACATTACCGCCTATGTGTTGGCAAGGATGAGGGAGAAACAAGCTTCAAAAAACCGTATAAAATTATATAAATTCTTTTTTACTTGCACATTTGGAGTAAGCCTGTCCGTCTGCTTGTCTATCCGTCTGACCGACTATGTATTATCTGCGTCGCTTGTAAATTTGCCAAAGAGTTTGAAGATAGAGACCGAGATCGAAGAACACGCCTACACCGCTCGGAAGTCTTTACAATCAAAACTGAAAACATCTTTGTTTTCGTGTCTTTCTCTCGCTGCTAATAAAATTACACGCAATATAAATTTCTACAAAATTATTCTACAAAAATGGAAAAATGCAGCCACGCCAATCCAAGATTATATTTTCCTGTTTTTTCAATATATTATAGGCGTTGATGGGTGTGAAAAATTCGCTCGCAGCGGAATGTAGTTTTCTTCCTTGTTCTTTTTGTCAATTTTCCTTTTCTCCTTCTCTGTAGCAACGTTTGTTGTATAAAGAAGACGATCAAATATTATGACACATAAATAAATTCTGGCGTACAAAGCATATGCGCCCCAAAGTGATACTTTGTCAGTGACAATGCAATCAGTAGCAACTATTTCACATTTTCCTTCGAAGCCTTTAACAATCAGCGTTCTTCAAGCTCTGTTTAGATGATCTTAACGTATGGATTAAATTAATCCACACTTTATGAATGAAATTCACTTGCAAATCACAAAACGAAGCAAAAGAGTGTTCGTTTTAGCGATGAAACTCTAATATCACTGCCGGCTTTTCGGTTTGGGTTTGACGTGGCGCTCGTATTTCTTCTTCTATGCTTCTTACAACCGCTTGTGAATGATCGTAGGTTGTTCTACGTTGTTATTTTTAAATTTGAGCCGAATCTTTAGCGAAAAATACTGGGTTATTACGAGATGGATGACTATGCTGTATATATCCGATATATTAGCTTGGCCTAATGTGTGGCCTAATATAAAATAACCTACAGTTATACATATGACGATTTTTTAGCATAAGATGTTACGTGGGAAGTAGTCGAAAACGTTGTCGGATACGACCCATCTTTAATAATGTTCGTCCCTGGGGACGAAACATATCGTTGCCGCAAAATTTCAACAAAACATCTCCAAAAATTTGTGTCCTGCGGATTGGACGCCAGAAAACAAGACGGACCGACAAGTTGTAATCGATTCATAAAGTGATTCTGAGTCGAAAGATGAGTTTATCTCAGTTCCGCATACCGTTATTATACCCGTGTACCACAAGAGAACAATAGCATTAAGTGGCACTTCGATAACTTTATTTAACAACATCTTTTGAATCCAATTTTCATTAAAGTGCATCGGCTTTTAATTGTTGTTGGACACAAAACTTCATACAAAAGCACGTTGAGAAATAAATGCCATTAGGAAAATAATTTAATGCATTTAGAGCGTAATTGTATGAAAGCTAGAAGTAAGAGAAATAGTAACCACAACAGCATAGGTTTAATTTTGATTTTTCTCTAAAGGAAGGAAATGTTTACCATGCTTCACCTTTCTTTAAGCCCGGAATGAAAAAAACGCTAAAAAAATATTTTAAAAATGTTATATAATTTCAGGAGGATTCGCAATGGTTTTTTTGGCTAAAGCCAATACCGGCAATGCTAAATATGCTCTTAAGCGTATGTATGTCAATAACGAGCATGATCTAAATGTAGCTAAAAGGGAAATCCAAATTGCGGTAAGTAGCTCGATTAAAATGTAAATTTTTTCACATTCGAATGGTAAAGAAATTTTTAAATATATATTAAATTACTAGAGTAATTTAAGCGGTCACAAAAACATTATTGGCTACGTCGACTCCAGTATAACCCATTGTAGCAATGGTGTATGCGAAGTATTGCTCTTAATGCCGTACTGTAAACAACACATGCTGGCCATGATGAATGCCCGGTAAACGAACGCTTTGTATTTATTAGTTGGAATATTTTTTAAATATATATATATATTTTTTTTTTTTCTAGTTTACAGATTGGTTTTACAGAATCGGAAGTTTTACAAATTTTCTGTGATATTGTTGAGGCAGTTTCCCGACTGCATTATTGTCAAACGCCAATAATACATCGCGATCTAAAGGTGGAAAATATTTTATTAAACGACGCTGGCAATTATGTTTTATGTGACTTTGGTTCGGCTACAGCTAAAATTCTCAATCCTCAGCAGCATGGAGTTACGGCGGTTGAAGAGGAAATTCAAAAGTATACAACACTTTCGTATAGAGCTCCCGAAATGATTGATTTGTATAGCGGTAAAAATATTACTACAAAAGCCGATATATGGGCTTTGGGTTGTCTGCTATATAAATTATGTTTTTTCACTTTGCCTTTTGGTGAGAGTACGCTGGCTATTCAAAATGGGACATTTTCCATTCCCGACAATTCGAAATACTCTAAAGGCATGCATCAGTTGATTAAGTTTATGCTCGAGCCAGATATGGAAAAAAGGCCAAATATATGGCAAGTGGCTGAAGTTGCCTTTCACTTAAATAACAAAGAAAATCCTGTACAAAATTTGCACGTAAGTGATTACTAATCGCTTTAAACTTATCAGCTATTCAATGCATTTTTTTTATTTTATATATATTGCAGAAAAGCTCTCCAGTTAATTTGGATCAATTAGTAGTACCTCCGTTTGAGGCTGAAGCCAAACGTATTTCTTCTGCTGCGGCAGCTGCTATTAAAGCAGCTAAGCCGCAAACTGTTAACATTGAATCCGGTACCAGCGTGGCGCCTCGTCAAAGACCTAAGGGATCTTCAGCTGTGCATGGACCAAATCCTCTGGGCTTAGGTCTGCCACCTAGCCCTTCGCCTCGTAATAATATCACCTCACCACAACCTCAAGTACCCCCCCAATGCGTAGTTGAACAGTTTCAAGCAAATTTTCCAACCGTGACGCCGGTATTACAAAATTCTGTTAATGCCTCAGCAACGACGGTGCTACCAGCAGCGACACCTGTTGCTGCAGCAACTCAATTAATTAAAACAAATCCAAATGACATGGCGAATACACAAAATCCTCCAGCTGAAATTTTAAATAGTCTTTTTGAATCCACGGTGTATCCTGATCCTTTTAGTGAAACATCGCCATCAGCCCCCCTGGCAATTGATGCCGAACCGACAGCCGCTGATCAAGCTTGCATTAACGCAGGTGATATGTCAGGGATAGTTGGTGATGGCGATAATGTAACAAGTTCTAATTTACTATCACCACCTAAGGCAATTAACAATAGTACTTCCGGTCATCGTCGCAATGTTAGTGATACTTCCGCTTTTAATAAGTAAGTAGAGAAAGTAATTGTCCACGAATAACGTAATCGTTTCATTTATTATATTAAAAATATTTATTAATTTCTGATTTGATTTTCCTGCAAAAGCTTTTAAATTCATCGCACATATTTTAGGAAATTAAACATTAATCATAAAGTTGATCGAAAAAAAATTGCAATAACTTTTTAGAAATCAATTCTTTCTTTTTTTTGTTGTTTTTTCTTATATATAATGTGTAGTTATTTTTATAGAAGAGCATTTTTTTGTGAAAGCGCTGAAATTTTGCAATGAAATATGTTTGAAGGCGATTTCTATTATTTATTTATTTATTTGTTATATTAATCTTTATTCACTAATTATTTTTAAATTCTTTCTTTTCTATTTAAAACTCTGTGATGTATATTTTTATTTAGGCCAATGACGTTTTTTCGAAAACTTGATATCGTAGCCACAATATAGAATAAAAAAACATTATTTAAATCAACTACATTTTCTCTAATACATTTCTTTTCATGTTCACTCAACCTTCTGTCTGAATATTTACGGCACTTCTTTTCAATTTTCCAATTTCCAAAACGTAATAACTCACTCTCCGATCAATCTCACATCTCATCTTTCTGAAACACAGAACCTTTGCCAATGAAACCTCACAGTTCTTAGCGCCCTACGACCAATCAGTTAAAAGTCGCAGTGGTGGCTCTTCTACCGGTAGCGGCGGCGACGCTGCAGCTGTATCAAATAGCTTCGGAGGATCCAATCCGAGTCTCTTTGGTGGCGTTATGTCTCAGTCATCGATATCGCATGCTGAATTAACCACAGCGCAACAACAAGCAAGTGGTATGAATCGGCCCACAATTGCTGAGACGGTGGGGGCACGTGTAGATGCTTGGAATCCGTTTGAGGAGCAACCCTTTAGTCAAATGACCGAAGATCATATATTTGAGGCGGAATTTGATAAAATACGGCAACGTGGCAGTCAAGGAAGTATGTTAGAAATGAAGAAAAATAGCACAACAAGTAATGTACAAGTGTCTTGGTTTTTTTTTTTTTTTTTCAAGGTATAACAGCTAAATCAGCATCTACCACTTCAACATTAACTCCTACAGAAAATAATAACTCGGGCGTGCCTATGATAGGATCAGCTAATTCCGTTCCTTCAAGTTGTGTTCCATCGCAGACCTCAATTTCGAATAATGCTATTATATCAACATCCCATATACCAGAGGATCCTTTCGGTTCAGCTCCGTTTAGTTTACCACCTGGTTTACGCGAGAAGGCGGCTTGCTTGAGAAAAACTGGAGGTAAAGCATGAACTCTGTTCTCACTGTATATGAATGCTATATGTTTCTATATTATTCCAACAGTATTTACACCTATTACTATTTACACGTATTAATACACAAAAAAAAAAAAAAAAAAAAAAAAAAATACTTTTTCTACTAAGTACTCCTATTGTTCTTTGTGACAATGTGAATAGATTGAAAGTTCTTCAAACACTTCTTCTTTACGCATCCCTTTCCCCCTCATGTTATATTTATATATATATATATATATATATATATATATATATATATATCCATCCAATGCATTATCAGTCCACATATAAAGCAAAATTATTACGCTAGAACTTCTTTTGCTTTCCTGTCCAGTTTTTATTAACTTCTCAAAGCTATATATATATAATATTTCCTTCTCGTCCCTTCATCAATAACTGTTCGTTAATTTTCTTATTTAAAAATTTTTTATAATTAATCTAAAAATGTTCTTTAGACAATAATACTTAAAAAGAAATTATTAAAGGCCATAATTTTTTATTTCTTTTTTTCTCTTATTCTTCTTGTTTTTTTCCTGTTGTGTCCAAAACAAAAAAAAAAAAAAAAAAAAAAAAAAAAAAAAAAAAGATGAAGAATTAAATTGAAATTCTTCTACTTAAATATGTAAAATTTTGATCTACTTTTTGTTATTAACCTAAAAACACAAAAATTGCGAAAGAAAAAAAATTTCCACATTTATTATTATCTCTGTTAAGTAAGGATAACTTATTGTGGTTCTACTATAAAAAAAAAGAAAAAAAAAACACAATTCAAGTTTATTTCAACTCGTTCATTTGCACATTCTCTCACTTCTAAATTTACTCCTTTCGAAAATTTACAGGGGCAATAATAATAATAATAATAATATATTTGCATGTATATATAGATATATACATATATGTATGTATTCTCTGTACTAAAAAATGATTGAGAAATTAACATAATTTGGTGCTGGTCTGTCAAAGAATTAAAACAAAAGTAATCGGATCTAATACAGTTGTAACTATCGTAGCAATTAATTGGTTGTGGTCTTAGTTCTAAATATAGCTCTAAAAGCGTCTTATTTTTATTTTTTTTTTTTGTTTTTATCAAACCATCTATGTATGTATGTGCAGCTATTAAATTTGTATTTACACGAATTGGTTTCTCTAGTGGATATAAAATTTTGAAAAGAAAATATTCACACAATACGCAATAACATGCTTCATCGAAAAACTACTTAAGTAATATCAGTCGCTAATAACAATTTTATGATATTACGTACCAAGTATATATGGAAAAAGTAAATGTTTAATGTGCTTTCGATTAATGAGAAAAACACATTTTACATATATAAAAAGACTTTTTTTTTTAAACGAGATTCGTGTCACAATAAATGGCTCTAGTTTGAGGGCAAAAAAAAGAAGAAGAAAAAATCGAAAAATTATAGCAATTGTGCAAATTGAAGGCGGCATTCCAAGGTCCATCAGATTACTCATTCAAATTCATTCTTGGTATTGCTTAAATATCGTACAAAAGAATTACGCATAAGAATATATTTTTATACCTATTGTCCTGGAAAGAGAATTAGACCAGAGAATTGTCTTTTAAATTGTAATACAAAGTAAATTAGATTCGTTAGAAATCCTGTAAATTTATTGATAATCGCAAGAGATTTAAGTGAACATAGCCCTGTCTATCAATTCGTTGTTCGTACCAGAGACACCTCATACATAGTTTTTGAAAGAAAATTTATATATATTACGTCATTGGGATATATTGGATCTGATAATAGAGGAAGACTCAATTGGTTTGGAGAGCTTGTTGCGAAAACCAACCATCGATTACTGTGAAATAAATGAGAATAGTAGAACAAACATGCGAATGGAAGAAGAAGATCACAACGAAACATTTTATTATAATATTGCAGTTGTTTATGTAGAGTTCGAACCGATATATAATGAATGAATTATATAGTAATATGTTTATTTAAAATTAATATCTAGAATAGAAGAGAACATCAAATAATCGGGACATCAAAAAACGCGATCTACGTTTTGAGGAAAGAGTTTAAGGGGAAAGATAAATTGGCATAAGCTTTTAGAAAACTGTTAAGTTTACCGTAACTGGAACAGCCAGTAAACTTTACTTTGACGTGATGACCGTAGATAGGGTCGTAACAACAAGAATAGTACAATCTTCTCCAGAAGGCCGTTTAAACGATACTCGAGTTTCTTAAGAGAAACTAGTAAATCCCCAGTGAACACGCTATCGTTTACCTTCTCCTAATACCTTGTTATATCAACTGACAGCGCTTTAGGTCACAGCGATTTTTTGCACACATCACATTTGGGTAAAAAGATCGGTGTTGGCAAACTCTATGTAAGTCATTACATTACATTCATGACCTTGGTGAAATCCCGAAGCGCTCAGCACCTTAAACATGATGAACCCCTTTCTACGATTTGAGTGTTGTTGCATAATATACAGCTAATGGATAATATTAGGGACTTGTGTTTACCGTTAATACCGTAAATTAGTTTACCCACTACTGACTCAGAAAATTGCTGACGACGACAATTGCTATTTACAATCAATTATTTCTCTTCATAGCTTCGTTGACAATTAACTCAACCCAAGAGGTAAACTTTCCTATAGTAAAGAAACAGGAAAAGGCGAAAACTAATCGTAAACACTTCATTGGTTAATAGTCACATATTTAATTTGTTTGAATTATTATCGGAATAGTGTAAATGTTAATCAGTTCGTTTTGCTTTACGTTTTCATGCTCTACACCACTTGAGATACATGTGTGACGTGGCGATGTATGCCAAATCCAGAAGGACTTGCGATCGATCCAAACGATTCCGAATCGTTTTCAGGATCTCTTTCTAAATTGATCTAAGCGCGCGTGTCCGTCTGCCTGTCCGTCTGTCTGTCTTTTTGTGTTTAATCTACAGTTCGCAATTTTTGAGGTATTCTAATGAAATTTTGGTACAGTGACATTTTTTGGCCCAAGAAGGAATATTATTGAAAATGATTCGGATCGGGCCTTTCTTTCGGCCGCTTTTCCCATATAAGGCCTCATTTTCAAAAGTCGTTTTGTGTATAGCTGTAGGGTGGTCCTCTAGGACTTGGATCTATTCTAGTATATTCACTTGTTAACCAATGTTTTAGTTGACAGTTTTAAAGGCGTAAACACAATTAAATTCTTAGCTTAAAGATGAACTTAGGCTTTAATAGGCTTTTACATATCATGTTTAAAGAAATCAAAGACTTCAATTCCTTAAAATGAACGGTAACGAATTTACGTTCGCAATATGTGTTGAAGAAAAAACGCACATGAAATTTTCGTCATGATACCTTGATGGAAAATTCCATTTTGTAAATTTTTTTTTTGCTTATTCTGCTTTTTGCTTGTTACACTAAATTGAAGTTAAAAAAAAATTTTTTTTCTTTTTTGCTTTATGAACATTTTCTTTTGTGAACATTTTTTTTTGAGCGCTAAAATTAGTCTCTACAGCAAGTCGGCATAAGTGCTCTCCTGTACTTTTGCCGAATGCGTAAATATTGTTTTTCATTTATGCAATTAGTCGTGTGACATGATAACAAACTTCAACAAACTTCATTCCATATATGGGTACTACTGCAATTAGGCGATATTCTTGGACGAATGAAATAATAAGCAATACGATTATTTGAGTGTATAGAGGAATTCTTTTGCCTTGATTTAGAATATAGTTTTTCTTGTAACAGACAGGCTTTGCCAGTGGAGGATAAGGGGAATAATTAATTCGCTAGATTTGTTTGGCGTAGTTGAGGGTTTGATTTTGACGAAAATAATTTTTTTCCTTTTTTATATCTTGCTTATATCGCTTTGAAAGTTCAACATCTGCGACCTGTTTTATGGACTTGAATGAGCCTGTTCATAGAATTCATGCTAAATCATATCAAATTCTTAATCAAAATTATTGAAGATAAATACAAAATAGAAATCTTAATAATAAATCCTTTCAGTTAAAGAGAATTATATTTCTTTTTTTTTCTTTTTTTGTTTTTCAAAACTTTGTACAAGAATAAAATATATTTAAAAAAATGCAAACTCGGCATATATTGAAAAATTACCTAACAATTATATAATAATATTAAACAAGTGCAACGGAGGAACGAAGCTTAACCGTCGATTATTATTATCATTGTTATTATTATTTTTTTTATTTTTTTTTTTTTTAAGAAGAATGTAAAACTCTTATTTAAAATTTCTTTTTAGATAACCGAACCAAAAATGAATTAATAATATTTTTATAAAAAATCCGGCCAAGTATGCAATAAAATGAAATAAAATTATTTTTTATTTAAAGACAACAATACAGAATGTTCCTTACTGTGTGTTAATTAACCAGAAAAACAAAACAAACAAAAAAAAAAAATCCCAAAAAATTAAAGTATAAAAAAAAAAAACAGTATTTAAATAAAACCAAAAAAAAAAATAATAAAATAAATAAAAAACAATAATGGAATTGTACCTTACAAACAAGCGAATATTTAAATTATTTTTGATGTATAACCAACAAAACCAAAATTACAAAAACGTATATATATATATATATATATATATGAAAAATGGACAAATAAATAACTATTTTTGCTAGAAAAAAACAAAAGAAGTAAATCGCGATACATACACTAAACATAATACTCTTTGAACAAAAGAAAAGAATAGAAACAAAAGGTAAAGCAAGCTAAGGAAAAAAAAATAAATTGTGCAAAATCATTTAAAAAATGACCACAATAAGTTGTAATTTTAAATTGATGACACTAATAATAAATCAAATAAATAATGAAAAATTAAAAATTTAAAAAAGAATTGTGTTTCAAAATATTAGTTTAATATAATAAACTGCATTGCTGCTTTCGATACTGAAATGTAGAAAGCAAAACTACAAATATATGATATAATATATATTTAGCTTAAGTGAATTAATGTAATTAAAACCATAAATAAAAAAAACAAAAAAACCAAAAAAGAATCAAAAACATAAATGTTATTCAGTGATAAACCTTTTTTTTTTTTTTTGAAAAAATCTTTAAATTTAATTTTGTCCGATCTGCAAAATATGCTTATTAAAGAGATATATTTGGAGAAGGGAGAAGTTGAATTAGAGATCCATATGTATTAATATATATGTGGAAATATAATTTTTTAAATCGTTTAATTGTTTCAAGAAAATTTCATGCAATACTTATATGCAAATTTAATGGTTTGGTGATGTCCAAGAAAAGCATAAAAATGTTGATATGAAATAAAGCCATATGGTTTTCAAACTTTCTGAACGGAGTATAATGAGCCAAAACAAATATGTACATATTTGATTTAATTGTGGATCATTGTGTGCCTGTCTGCCAGTCCGTATGCCGTTAAAATTTTTAAAATATTAAGAACTGCCGAAGACTAGAAAAAATTCTGTGCTAATGCCATGTTCCGGCTCAATGCTATGAAATTTCTACACTCTATTTGTTCAATCCTGCCGTCGAAGTTCTTGTCACTTTGGTTGCAAAAAAAAAAAAAAAAAGAAAGGGCGCGGAAAGCTGTAGTAGTGGAACGAATTAAGTTTAGACATGGATAAGTTTTGTGCTTTAAATATGCGTTCGATAAATGAAAAACTAAGCAAAAGAAGAATTCGTAAGCTTTACGAAAGAAGAAACACACGAATATCAATTTAAAAGATGATACATATATTCAATCGAATCATCACAAAGTTCTGATCGGCCAAAGAACATGTCACCTCCTATTAATTCGTTGTAACGCTATTTAAGTAACTTTTAAATAAAATAAAAAGTTAGTCCGTTAATCCTATTTTCTTATAGTAAAACAAGCACTGTAGCTGAACGCGGCGTTCCGCTTCGCTTAAGACCGCTACTCAGATAATGTCTTTTTAAAATAAGGGCTTATAAGGGCATATACATACTATACTATATATGCATTACATTATACTATACTGTATATACTATACTATACTGCAAGATATACTATACTACAATATACTATACTATATATATATGTATATACAGAATTATATGCTATATAATATGGTATACCATATATGAAATATACATTTTTCAATTACGGCTGTGAGCTGAACACAAGAAAATAAGGCAGACAGACGGACTGATTACTGACTGTTTAGATCGGAATTTGATTTTGAATCGATCGGGTGACTGTTGTGTACATCCACACAAAGTCTTCTATCAAAAACTTGAGAATAATACAAAACATCATATTTCCTATGCCTAAGACGAATTGAAACTTTCAAAATGAACATTTCGTAGTTATACTACTTGATCATTTTATAATTACATTCATCTAAAAGCATTTTCATACATAATTTTTTGATGATTGAATGTACACCAAGTTTTCCATTCAAAACTGCTAAACTAAATTGTAAGTGTCAGTTTTTTGGCTTCCAGCGGCCTGTCTTTGATTGGATCACATCCATTAACACATAATTTGTGGTGTTCACATCAACTAATGACATACGTATCACCTTTCCATTTTTAAAAGCATTCCTTTGTTTTTCCGAATACTAGATTTCCATGCAACAATACAGATGGTACGGATCGACGTGCCTATAATTACTCACAATAAGTTGTACTTTACAGGGTATAACAGAGCAAGAACAGATCTTGTACATTGCCATCCTTCATTAATGAATATAATAAAAAACGATATTTAAAAAAAAAAAAAAAAAAAAAAAAAAAAAAAAAAAAAAA